TCATCTGCTGGCTGAGGCTGGCTTGCGGAGCGTGAGCTGCGACAAGCTCGGCACACTCTGTCCATGCCCTGTGCCACGACACTGAAGCGGCTGGCCTCCTGGTCGTCAAGGAAGGCATGTAGAGGCTTTAGCTTTTCCTGCCCTGGCTGCAGAAAGCTGCAGAGGCGGCAAGTCAGCTGCACTTCCGGATGCCGCTTGCGCTGCTTTGCTTCCTGCTCGAAGCGGGCTTTGGCTTCTCCCAAGGTGAGCGTCTGCCGGTGTACTTCGAGCAGCGTCCGTGGGCCTATCAGGTCGCCCTGGCTCAAGAGGTTGGGCGAGAAAGGCCGGCTCACGCACAGGTCCTCCCCGTGCCTCACCCGGGACAAGCACATGTAAGCGCTCAGCTGGGCATCACGGGAAGGGGCGCTGTCCCAGAAGCCAAGATCCAAGGTGCATGCGACAGCGTGGCGCCCATGAAGGAATGTGCTGCGCCGGCATAGTCGCATGCAACGGGGAAGCCTCTGCGCAGCACGGACGCTTTGCTGTCCGCCGCCAGCTGCCACTGCTGCTGCACAGGCCGGATGCATGCGACACCTGCTGGCAGGCCCGGCTGCTGCGTCCAAGTAGCCCCTTCCACTTGGATGAACAGGCACTTTGGCATGCCTTGGAGTACGAAGTCTGCGGACGTGGACGTGCGGACGGCCTCGGCGTCTGCGTCCTGCAAACACCAGTTCATGAGCTTCCCGCGGCTGTTCTTGAAGAGACGCAAAGGCTTGAGCTCCGGAAGGGTCTGCGTAATGCGCACGGGCATGTTTGGCAGCAGCGGCAGCAGTCCCATGATACCGCCCGTGGCTTGGTCGTGCCGTTGCAGCCAGTTCTCCTTTCGCGCCTCCAAGTTCCCGGCTTCCTCTTCTGGATCTACTTGGAACAAAGGCATGTCCTGGGCCACCGCTGCCACTGCTGCGTGAAAAAGGGGAAAAACTTAAAACCTGCCAAAGGACACCCTAGAAGAGGAATGAAGGGATGTGCAGGAAAGTGACGTGAAATTGGAAGCGAGGTTGAAGTCGCGGGAACCACAATGAACTAAGGGAAAGGAATGCGCATGAAGGGGCATTCAAGGAAATGAAGGGAGCTGAAGCTAACGGGAATTCAAGGAAAAGAAAATACAAGAATGGGAAGGGGTGGCCGGCTGTGTCGCGTCAGCGTGTAAATCCGGCCACCGGGGGGCTTCAGACCCCGTGGTCCGTGATACGGCCGAAGGCCTAGGCCCGCAGGGCCTACCTTCAGGTATAAGGCCGTCCGCCCCATGCCGCCGACCCACCGCCGAACTTTTGCGCTGCGCCAAGCTGGGCCCACCCTTATAAGGGGCGAAGGATTTGCGGATTTGTTCAGGCGATTTTTGGCGGGTGTTTTTTGGGGGGTGCCCATAGTGGATAACATCCCCGGCATCACCTGCATCATCCGCATCCTTGGCGGACATTGATGCGGATGATGCCGGCGATGCGGGTGATGCTGGGGATGTTGTCCCCCAAGTCGGGCCAATTTTGCCGAAATTTGCAACTTGAAAATCTTAAAATCTAAAGTGGATGGAAAATGGATGGAACATGGCCTGGATTGAAATCTCAAAATCCTAAAGTCTTAGATTCTTAAAATCTTAAATTAAAATCTAACAATCAATCTTAGAATGTCAAGATCTTAAAATCTTAGAACTTAGAATCTTAAAATCTGAAAATATAAAAAAATCCTAAAGTCTTCGAATCTTGAAACCTTATGTCTTAGAATCTTGAGATCTTAAACTCTTAAAATATTAAATTCCTAAAGTCTTACAATCTTAAAATCTCAGAATCTTAACAAGCTTTAACAACTTAAATTCTTTAAGCCTCGAACAATTGAAATCTGAAAATCTTAAATTATTAAAATATTACCTTCCTTCAATCCGGGCTATATTTTAACTTCCTTACACTCTTAATCTTGAATTTTTGAAATCTTGAAACCTTAAGATCTTAAAATTACAACCTTAGAAGATAGAATCTTGCAACCTGAAAATATAAACATCCTCAAGTCTTCGAATCTTGACTTCTTAAAACCCTCATGTCGTTGAATCTTCAGATGTTAAAATCTTAAAATATGAAATTCCGAAATTCTCAAACTCTTAAAATCTCAGAATCTTAAAAAGCTTCAAAAACTTAAATTCTTTAAATCTCGAACTATTGCAATCTGAAAATCTAAATTCCTTAAACTCTTAATCTTGAAATTTTGAAGTCTTGACATCTTAAGATCTTAAAATCTTAAATTCCGAAAGTCGCCAAATCTGAAAATCTCGCCAACAATAAAATCTTAAAGCCTTCGAAATCTGATAATGGATGGAAAATGGCTGGGCAATGGCCTGGCTGTTATAACCTTCAAACACCTTAAGTCTTTGAATCTTAAAACCTTAATTCCTAAACCATTGAAGCCTTAAATTCCAAAAGTCTTCAAATCTGAGACCCTTAGAATCTCAAAGTGTTTAGAATTGCTTAATCTTAACATCTACTCATCGGACTTACCGGAAAGGGAAGTGACAGAACGGGCAGGGCAAGGTGCCCGGTGGCCGGCTGTGTCGCGTCAGCGTGTAAATAAATAGAAAATGTAAAGGAAGATGTGAGTAGATTTCTAATGGAACAAAAGCATGTGATGAAGATATAAGGAAAAGGAGATGATAAGATAATAAGCTAATCTGCGTCTCTAATATAGCTACATTAGACATACAAAAATGGTAAAGAGACATCGGAAAAAGGACGAAAAATCTTAATCTGTCATATCATATCCGTATCTCATGGACCCTTACAGGTCTTCCGTCTCTTTCTAAAGCTTTTCCATAGTAACAGAATATTGATTGGGAGGTGGACGATTCGTGACGCTGGGAAAACGCAGAAGTAACCACAACAGCCCCAGAATCTTTCCAGAAACCTCCCCATACCTTCCCAGAAACCGTCACGGCGCTGCCGCAAGCCCACGATTTCCTAGCTGCTGGGAAGACATTGACAAAAGCAAAAGAAACTACAAAAGGCCTTCTGGGGTAACAAAAAACAACTCAAATTTGATCCACGGTTTTGGGTTTTTCTGCGATGACACAGCGAAGCACGAGGGAAAGTTGGCCAGGCGCCTGCCTGAGTTTGGAAAAGCGCACTCAGCCAGAAACAACAGAAGCATTATGTTCAGAGGAAACTACTGGAAGCTGGTGTTTGTGCCCGGAAACTGTGTTCCAAAGAAACAGGCACCTGTCGCCCAGACGAACTGTACGCACATATTAGCTGTACACAAATGCAACAGACGTTGGTAACAAACTGTTGTGACATCCGTGCATGCACCTCCGACTTAGACAGGCAGGCCACGCAGGCCATGGAGGACGAGAGTTGACCCCGAGCCGAGTGGCCACAAGTGCGGGGAACTTGGCTTGACTGCCAAGCATGTTCTGCCGCGGCCGCCCAAGCTGCGTCGGTCACCAACAAACCTGTGGCTTCGGCTGCCCCGCTGTCAGATGGAAGTGCTCGGAAGTAGTCCGTGCCAAGTACTCTCTGCAGATGTGTCGCAGAAAGCTGCCCCAGCGACTTGAAGCGCGCAGAACGGGGCCAGACCCAGTGCGCAGCAGCTGGCAGCAGGGGCTGCTGTCCCTCAGACAAGGATGTTGGGCACATGAACGCTGGCTTGGGCGCACCTCAGTCCGTGCGAGGAAGATGCGCCAATTGCCCGTTGCGCGCCCTGGTGGAAGTACTTTGCCTGGCAAGGTGGCCACCTCGGCGCCCGTCTGCGCTCCGGCCGCGAACTGCGGAGGCGGACCAGCAGCCAGTGGGAGGGCTACTTTAGCAAGAGGCTTTTTTGTTCCGGGCCCAACCGCAGCCCGAGAAGCAAGCCACCACCGATCCAAGCCACCAATCATGGCACTGCCCGGAGCAAGGTCCGACCAGCTCGACGAACACCAGCTCCAAAGCAGCAGCCTTGTGGCAGCCTTGCCCCGGACTGCAACTCTTGTGGAAATGTGCGGGGAAAATGTGTTAGAAGTTAGCAAGATTCACACTTGGTGATGCCTCAACCACACAGGCGCATGACAGAAAGGAACAAGCGACAAGCCAACCAACTACCAGCGCAGCCTCCCGCACCCTTAACCTTGCTCAACCCTGTGGGGCTCTACGCACGCATGCAAGTTATGACGACAACCTTGTTGTAACCGGCTGCCGGCCAGACAAGGCCAGCACCTCACTAATAAGAAGATCTCTGCTCCCCCAACCTAAACTGTCAAATTCCCGCTGACCCCAATTGCTGTCGCACTAGCGGGCTCCCCAATGCAACTTGAAAGTTGAACTGCGCATGAACGTTTCAAACCCAAGAAAATGCCTTGAGCGATGTTGTGAGAGTGACTATTGTTGCGCCTAGCAGGGGCCCCACAACTGCTATTTCAGTTGGGACAGAATCGTGAAGTCCGGGAGGAACATTGATGTGAGCTCTTGCAGCACGTGCTATTCCGGAAATAGAAGGAAATTGTGAGAACATGAGGGCGCTAAACTGGGGCGAAATGAAAAGAATGAACGCCGGCCCCGCATGATCATATTCGCAGCCCGAGCAGCCCGCCTGACATTCGCATGAAACATGACATGTGATGCTGCTCGGTTCCGTCCGGAAGAAGGCATAGGGCGCACACAGAGTAATGCGTGGCAGTAGTGCGAAGCCACTCCATGTTTTTCTGCGCAAAAAACAAGCCTGGCCTGCAGCCCTCCGGAAACCCTCTGCAGCCCTCCCTGCAAGCTAGCTTTCATCTGTTGGGGAGAATATGCGCTGCAGCTGGCTAAACGTTTATCAGTTGAGGCATGAACCCCCAAACTCTTTGCCTACTCTGGAGGCCCCCACCACAGGCTGCCTGGCCCCAAATGGCGAGACCGGGTCCTTGAAACAGAGAACTTACACATTCCAGCAAGAAGAGCACAGACCAACTCGGTTGCTAAGTTTTGGGGCCCGTCGGTTTAAGGGCACATTGGGGGCGCTGCCTCGGTGGGAGCTTGCGCACGTGCCTGGCCAGCCTGCGATGCACCCGCGTGCTGAATAGCGAGGAAAAATGTAAGATCGAATCAAGGCTCAAATCAGAAAGGGCGGCCGGGGTAGACTCATGCGAAAGCTATGTGCCCAAGTAGCACTGTGAAACCGTTGGTTGCTTTGTCCCTTTCAGAAAAGGGACGACACACATCCCTGCTTCCTGCCAAACAATCCGAGTCCTTCTGCAAGGGTGGGGGTTGAGAGCAACCGCGACTCAACTGGATGAGACCGAGAATGAAGCCTGTCCTGAGGAGTTGGATGCATGCTGCTTGGAAGCCATGGTGGCAATGGTTTGCAACCAGTGATGGCCACGCATACCTTCAACCACGCCGGAGTGGCTAAATCTTAAGCACGCGCTACCCCGATCCTCCAAAGCGTGATTGTTTCGGAGTCCTCTTTAGTGTCCAACTGATTTGGGGGGGTTCCTCAAATTCCCAAGCCAAAGCCTACAATTCCCAAACCAAAGCCTTAGCCTTTTACTTTTAAAGATGGCTCATCCTAAGCTCTCCCCAGCTCACAGGTTAAAGGCCTGAGGTCTAGGAAATCCATTTTGCAAGTTGCGCCCAAGCCATCAAATTTATGAGAACTTCTGCACAAAAAGGCAAGGTGGATCAATCGCACAAAGGGGGTTGCCCGCAACCAGCCCTGATTAGTCTTCAACTGGCTTTGGGGGGTTCCTGAAATCCCCTTAGCCTTTTACTTTTAAGTTCTTCCCAGCTCAAAGCCTAAGTGGCGCCCTCAGCAATGAGCTTTTCAGCAGAAGCAAGAGCAAGAAAATAGCTAAGGGGCAGCGCAGCAAACAAACTCAGCTCAACCACTTGCAAAACATGGAAGCTGAGGGTGAGTCCTAGCTACATCAACTGGAAACTCAAGGCTACCAATACTAAATCAATTTGAATCTCAGTTCCAAATCTCAAAAGGAAGCTCCGGCAATACTAAGTCAATTGGAAACTCAGTTCCAAATCTCAAAAGCAAGCTCCACACTAAATCAAATGGAAACTCAAGTCTACCAATACTAAATCAAATTGAAACTCATCCAAGTCCCACCCAGACCCCCAGCATTCCCCTAAAGAGGGCCCAGCTGACTGGTTCCATTGTTCGGGGGGGGGGAAGCATTAAAGAGGGTCCAACATTAAAACACTTCTGCTAGGAGGCAAAATACCAGTAGAGCCGGCGAAGCCGGTGGGCGGAAGTTTCAAAAATATAAACACTCTTTTTCTCCGTCATTCTTCCTTTCTTGCTTTCTTTCCTTCCTCCCTTCTTTCCTTCTTTCTATCTGTCTGTTCTTTCTTTCTTTCTTTCTTTCGTTTGCTTGTCTATCTATCTTTCTCTACCTATCTATCTACCTAACTACCTATCTATCTATCTCTCGTGTTATCTATCTATCTGCCTGTCTATCTATCTCTCTATCTCTATATCTACCTATCTCTCTATCTCTCTAACAAAAAATCTCTCTATATCCCTCTATCTCTCTCTCTCTCTCCATCTATCTATCTATTTACCTCTGAATCTATTTATCTATCTATCTATCTATCTATCTATCTATTTCTCTATCCATCTACCTATCTATCTATATCTCTTTCTATCGATTTATCTATCTCTCTACCTATCCATCTATCTATCTATCTGTCTATCTATCTTCTGTTTGTTTATCTATCTAACAATTTATCTCTCCATCTATCTCTCTATCTCTCTTTCTTCCTATCTTTCTATCCCTCTATCTCTCTTTCTTTCTACCTATTTATTTTCTTTCTCTATCTCTTTCTATCTATCTATCTATCCATCTATCTCTCCATCTATCTCCCGCGTATCTATATATCGATCTATTTATCTATCTATCTATCTATATGTCTCTCTATCTGTTTATCTCTCTATCTATCTATCTATCTCTATATCTCCCTATGTATCCCTCTGTCTATCTATTCATCTCTCTCTCTCTCTATTTGTCTCTCTCTCTATCTATCAATCTATGTATTTATCTCTCTCTTTTTCTCTATCTATCTATCTATCTATCTATATCTCTATCTATCTATCTATTTATCTTTCTATCTATCTATCTATCTAGCTATCTACTTCTTATCTATCTATCTATCTATCTATCTATCTCTCTACCTCTCTATCTCTCTATCTATCTATTTATCTGTCTATCTCTCGTGTAGCTATCTGTCCCTCCATCTATTTGTTCTTTCTTTCTTTCTTTCTTTCTTTCTATCTCTCGTGTATCTATCTATCTCTCTACCTATCGATCTATCTATCTATCTATCTAAGTCTTTCTCTATCTATCTTTTTTAACTTTCTATCTCTCTCTCTCTCTTTCTATCTCTCTATCTCTCTATCTCTCTATCTATCTATCTATCCATCTATCATTTTAAAAATGTATCTATCTATGTATCCGTCTCTCTCTCTCTCTCCCCATCTATCTCTTGTGTATCTATCTATCTCTCTCTCTCTCTATCTATCTATTTATCTATCTATCTGTCTATCTCTCGTGTAGCTATCTGTCCCTCTATCTATCTATCGATCTATCTCTCTACCTTTCTATCTATCTGTTTCTCTATCTATCTTTCTATCTATCTATCTGTCTCTCTCTCTTTCTATCTCTCTACCTATCTATCCATCTAGTTTGTAAATATCTATCTATCTATCTATCCATCTTCTCCTCTCTCCATCTATCTCCCGTGTATCTATCATCTCTCTACCTATCTATCTATATATCTATCTATCTTTTTCTCTATCTATCTATCTATCTTTCTATCTATCTCTCTATCTATCTATCTATCCATGTGCCTCTCTAACTATCTACTTTCTATTTAACATATCTTTCTATCTATCTATCTATCGATCTGTACCTAAATTAGCCAAAGTGCTGCGCCTGCCTCGAAATCTGTACTTGACCTTGTGAAAGTGCTGCGCCTGCCACGAATTTGGCACTTGACCTTGCGAAAGTGCTGCGCCTGCCACGAAATCAGAACTTGACCTTGTGAAAGTGCTGCGCCTGCCACGAATTTGACACTTGACCTTGCGAAAGTGCTGCGCCTGCCACGAAATCAGAACTTGACCTTGTGAAAGTGCTGCGCCTACCACGAATTGGGCGATTGGCCTTGCGAAAGTGCTGCGCCTGCCACGAAATCTGTACTTGACCTTGTGAAAGTGCTGCGCCTGCCACGAATTTGGCACTTGCGAAAGTGCTGCGCCTGCCACGAAATCTGTACTTGACCTTGTGAAAGTGCTGCGCCTGCCACGAATTTGGCGCTTGACCTTGCGAAAGTGCTGCGCCTGCCACGAAATCTGTACTTGACCTTGCGAAAGTGCTGCGCCTGCCACGAATTTGGCACTTGACCTTGCGAAAGTGCTGCGCCTGCCACGTAATTCAATCCTTGAGAAAAGTTGATATTGCGACAGTGCTGCGCCTGCCACGAAATCTGCACCCGACCTCACCAAAATGCAGCGCCTGCCACGCAATTGAATCCTTGCGAAACCTCTGCGTTGCCGTGCCAATGGTCCCGGCGCCGAGCCCGCTCCGAGACCGCTCCGAGCCCGCTCCGAGCCCGCTCCGACCAGACGCCGCGGACAGGCTAGCTTTCGCGTCTCCGGAGATGCAAATTCACGCGCAGCGCCACGCTTTTTGCGACTTTCTCTGCCACACGCGCGCGCATTTTTCCTCGTGGGCTTATTCCTTCTCTTGTCATTTGTCTGAGAGAGCTAGCTTTCAATTAGTTGCCGCAACGCGGAAGTTCCTTTTAAACTTCCTTTGATAATTCAACACCTACAGCGTGGAGCAAATATGCTTTTGCCAGCCAGGTGATGCGGCATATGTATGTTCTACGCAATTGCAAAGCTGACCTGGGCACCCGTTTGGATTCGTCTTGCAACGCCACAGTGCAAGACCTTTTCCCAGCCATCACTCATGATGGACCGGCCATTATGGCTGGTGAAGTTGCAGAGCCACCACCTGCAGAGCGACCTACACGCACCCGTGTTCTTTGCAGCCATGGCAATAATGTATTTTTCCCATGTGCTTTCGGCAGCCCAGCAGCACTTTTCCACATTCTGCATCCGGAGTGCATCGCAGCACTACATCCTTGAGCGCGCATGTTGCTGGCAGTTGGCTGAAAATCTGGTCCTGTGTTTTTCCACTTTGCGCCGCAAGTGGTGGAAGAGTAGGTCTCCAACTGCAGAGCCTGCATGTGCAGCCATCCACACACATGCAGCAACACCTGCAGCGTCCAAACTTGCCGGGCAGAGCTTTTGTCAAAACAATATCACCAGCTGCTGCTTGGTCAGCAGGCTGCAAGTGTAGCATTCTTGTGATTGCCTGCGCGGAGCCAAGCAGGCCTTGAGTTTTTTGGTGGCAGCGCCTTTGCGCACTAGCGTGGCTTGTGTTTTAAAAGCATCATTTTCTTCATCATGCGCAAGTCTTGTGAAATCACTTCTTTCAGCGGTGTTTGCTCAACACCCCTTATTGAAAGTGCAGTTTACTTATTTGTTGCATCGTTCTGCTTTCTTTCATGCCTGGCAAGCAAGCCACGTGACCCGCATGAGCAGGCGTGCGCGCAGGCCAATGGAGCTTGGCACGGTACAGGTACTCATCTTGCCAAAGCAGTCCAAAGCTTTGCCTAGATGAGCAGGTGTAATTGTTGTGGTGGAGCGAGCTTGCAGAAAGCCAATCACAATGCACATCTCCAAACAAGCCTTGCGTTGTTGAAAGCAAACACATGCTGAGACCATCGCTTGCTGAATAAAGTATGCAATCACAGGGTAGATCGGCAAGCGCTCCGAAGCTGAAGCTTTGAAAGTGTTTGCATCTTTGTTTGCTTTACTCTTCTTGGCTGTGACATTTCCCCTTGGGCAAAGTCCACAAACCAACATATTGATGCAGGGTCTTGCAGATGTCCATGGCTCATCCAGCGCGCTTGTCAGGAGTTCAAGGATAAGGCAAAATGATTGCCCCAGGCCACCCTGATACAGCAAGCTGTCTTCATGCTGT